GTGGGGCAAGGTGTCTTGTAAGTCTTTTACGGGTCATGTATCTGTGATAGCGTGATCTTCGCGGCGATTGGAACCCCTGTATGGTCTACGGCTTTCCGACCCAAAGCCATGAAGTAGACTCGAAGCCTCTCTGATCCCGTGAAACCCTACCGAAAAAGTCCTGGAAAACCAGTCAACAAACTACTGCTGTGTTCATTTCTTTACTCTCTCAGGCCTCGGGCAATCCGTGGAGGAGCTGCAGGACAAGGTGAGCTCGACGGCCGACAAAACGGACCGCCGGCGTTTGGGCATGCGCAATCGGACAGTCTCCCCTAAACCCAAAACCCAAAACACTACAATCAACCCTAAACCCTAAACAGTAAGCTTGTAAATCATGCAGATTAAACCCTAGGTCGCAACTTTACACCCTACATCCCCTAAAGCACAAAAAAGTCACGCAAAGCTTGGTAGAGCCAGATAAACGCCTACAAACTTCGAACCAATCTAAGGATTTAGGGGTGTCGGGGTTTAGGATTTAGCGGCTAAGGCTTTGGCGGTTTGGGGGGTTTAGGGTTTAGGGTTTAGGGTTTAGGGGTTTAGGGGCCCAAACCCTGAACCCTAAACCCGGGGTAATAGGGTTTCGCGTCGACTGTCAGGACCATCTCATCGCCTCAGAAGCGCTACCTTTCGAGCTGATGCCAGTCTACCCCGTGGCTTGGCCTTCGCGATCGATTAAGAGGGTTCCCTGCTTTTCGGAATTCTGTACTTCCGATTATGGTAATCAAAACATTTTTCCGAAGGATTTTGACAACTATCTTTTTTTTATTGTGGTTCTGAGGGCGCTTAAGTAGAGGGTGTTAAGAAGCTTTGGTCTCAAGAACAAGATTTTTCGGATTCAGGTCTTGGTAGGGATTCAGAATTTCGGGATTTCACTCAGGGATTTCAGGGTTTCGGGTTTCAACCCGGGCTTTGGCTTTAGGGCTCAGGCGGTTTCGGGATTTGCAAGGGTTTTGGGACTGTCTGCCTGTAAGGCCTAAACCTTACATGTTAAATCCTAAAGCCCTGAATCGCCTAAAGCCCTAAATCCCTAAAGCCCTAAATCCCCTAAAGCCCTAAATCCCCTAGAGTCCTACAAAACAAATCCTAAACCCAGAACCCAAAACCCCTAAACCCAAAACCCTAAACCTAGAAAGCTAAGGGAGCCCTAAAAACCGAGAGCCCCAAACACCCAGCTAAGGACACGGATGACAGCAGTTCCGGGCTCCCCTGGAAATGCCTACAGCGGAGCTGTCAGGCGCAGATGGCAGCTTGGCCCAAGGGATTAGGGCATAGGATTTGGAGTTTGGGGCTTGGGAGTTTGGGGTTCAGGGTTTTGGGGGTTTTAGGGGTTTAGGGTTTAGGGGGTTTAGGGTTTAGAGGGTTTAGGGTTTAGGGTTATCCTGATAAGGCTTCAGGGTTCTGGGACCGCAAGCTCTTCTCATACACCGGAAAACTCCCACCCATCCTAAACTCAAACTCTTGCACTCCTAGGACCCGAGGCCTCCGAAAACCCTAATTCTGAGCCTCAAACCACAAATTTAGCCTTTAGCTCTGAACTGGCCTGGGCGGCTGGCAAGCCGCTGCACCCTCCTCCTGAAAGCCTCGTCCCTAAACCTGGAGTACCCTTAAACCCTAAACCTGGAGTACCCTAAACCCTAAACCCTTAACCGGAGGATCTCAGATCAATCTGAAAAGGACCCGCAACAACAGAGCTGTGCCCTGAGTCTGCGAGGTGATCTGGATCATGTCGCTCCTCGTTGTCCTCTTCGATCCCGTCTACTACGACACGCCCATCGCGCCCAGGGCGCGATCTCCGGAGGGAACGGGGGCCGAAGCGCAAAGAGAATCACTCCAATCGGGTGGTAATGTGATTAGTAGTATTGGTGCTAGTATTGGCAGTGGCAGTGGCACTGGCAGTGGCTGTGGTGGTAGTGGCAGTGGTTGCGGTCATTGTCGTCATCGTCGTCGTCATCTTAGTCGTAGCAGCAGCAGCAGTGGTACTGGTAGTGACAGTGGCCGTGGTAGTAGTGGTAGCGGTGGTAGTGCTGGTCTTCGTAGTAGCAGTAGCAGTAGCAGTAGCAGTAGCAGCAGTAGCAGTGGCAATAACATGTTTTGCCTCTTGACTTTCGTGGACAGCAACTCTCTGATTGAACTCTTGGCCTAGCCTTGCCAGGAGCTCTATGACCCACATGCGTTGATGAAGATGAAGACGGCTCCGGGGCTGCGGTTCTCTTGATTTGGGATCCAAGACTTCGTGGGGCGTTTATTTCAGGGTCGACATATCGGATTGTTCAAACGTGATGGCGCCACAACTAAGGCGGTGGCAGAAAGGTTTGGGCATTCCATGTCTTGAGCGACTTTGATTCTGGAATTCAGGCGAGGTTGCAGCACCGGATTGAGTCTAGGCTCAGTCTTGGGTTTGGGGTTTAGGAGTTTGCGGTAAAGGGCGCGATGCCTGCTGGAGCTCTTTAGCCTCAAGCAAAGACTGTCAATCCTTTGCAGCGGCTGGCAGCTTCCTACACTTTATGTGTATCTGATAGAGGCCTGAACGCATAGTAACAGCATCCTCTTATTATCCCCTCTACTGTAGTTGTTTCGTAACCACTTCTACTGGTTCATGCTTGTAGTATCATGTTAGTTTTGTTCAGGCGACGTAAATTCGATGTAGAACGGGCCTACTGCAGTGGACCCTAGATGCTGAGAGCTTGACTCCAAGGGCCCGTAAAGTTAAGGAAGCTCGCACAGCAACTTCAATGTCCCTGAATTTTCAAGGAATCGTCGTGGATTCAGAGAGTCTGTATTCAGGTATACAAAGTTAGGGGATGTTGGACTATTTGAGCACCTCAACGTGAATCGTAGGCAGCTCCAAGCCCCGAAACCCTAGACCTTAAGTGCACAACTTTGAATTCTAGAGCCTCATAAGCCCGACGCCCCAAACCCTAAACTGAAGGCGTGGCCCCACAAGCGCTTCCGCCCCTCGGCGATCGCCTGTGCGGGCGACGACACCATCTACATCGGTGATCAGCGTCTTATCCTTTTTGGAGGTCGTTGAGTCTTTTAAGGATCAGCGTCTTATCCTTTTTGGAGGTCGTTGAGTCTTTTAAGGATCAGCGTCTTATCCTTTTTGGAGGTCATTCAGTCTTTTAAGGATCAGCGTCTTATCCTTTTTGGAGGTCGTTCAGTCTTTTAAGCTTTGGGACCCTACGGGTGTAAGCTCTCAGAGAGACTCCCAAAATACATCGACCAAGAACGTGCAATAAATTTTCTAGGGTATCGATGATCCCTCAAGAACTTCAGGAATACTCCGCACAGCATATCAAGGATCCCTGAAGCTCGGGTGTTCGGTCCTCGCATCGCTCAATTCCCCTGAACCCTAGACCCTAAACCCTAAACCCCAGACTCTAGGCCCTAAATCCTCAACTAAACCCCAAACCCTAAAGAATCAAAGAAACCCTAAGTGCCACATTATGGGGTTTCACAGTTCAGGTCTCTTGTTCAGGACGGCGCTTCGGCCTAAGACTCCTCTTGTGAGGAGCCCGGAAGTGAATCATGAAGGGGCCGAAACAATGACCAGTATTACTCCCTAGGGCTCATCTTTTTATTTTCATCATTGCTATTTTCATCATTACTATTACAAGTATCATTACTACTATTATCTTTATTATTCTTATCATTATGACTATATGCTATTATTGTCATGACAATTACTCTGCTATACCCCCCGCACTCAATTGTGATTAGTACAGCCTCTGTACTATCAGTTCGCAAGCATTTGGGGAGTAGTCTGCCTTTCTCTGGCTTTGTATCGCTGGCAGCTGGTGGCGTCGGGGTGGTTCGAGCATAAACTCGACTTTTAATCAAAAGCCATACAGGAGATGCTGGTTTTTTTTAGAACCTTAGAGGCTGCTCCTGTCATATCAAGAAGGTAGCTTCTGGAAGGCTGGGTTGCTTCCCGAGGTTCGCAGTCTATGCTTCCGACCTGTACTGGACGGGCGAGAAGATCGAGGTTCACAGCGCGGACACTCACACAAGGCGGAGATCCCTGTAGCCTGCACACCCTGACGACGAAAATCCAAAGCCCTAAACTCGAAGCTCTAAGCTCGAATCCGAACCCCTTAAGACCATAAAACCCTTGTTGCAGACTTATCGAGCCTTTATGTTACCCTAATAATTCTTATGAAAACCTTACCGGTTTCCTGAAGGTTTGTTGACGTTTTTCGTTCAAAGTAGATGAGCCTGGGGCCGTCGAGCAGGGCGAACAGGTTGCCTTGGGTATAGGGTATATAATTTAGGGAATTTAGGGGGCCTCAATAAATATAGGGGCCTCAATAAATACTTGCATTCTTCCTTATGATGCCTGATGGTTCCTTAGTCTAAAAAGGACCCCAAAACCCTATTCTAGTTATCAAGGCCCCTACAGTCGGCTGCAGTGTTTGGAAATCACCCTTCCGAAAGAATGCCTTGTGGGGGGGGTGACGGGGAGGGGTACAAGGCAATAAAATGCCTTGTGGACTTCCGGAATGCCTTGTAGGGAGGGGTCATACTTTCGGACATGTGACTGCGGCTTGCCCAGCTCAGGCATTTGGCCTTAAACTGTGGTCGTCAGCCGGGCCAGCAGAGTAGCAGAGCAGAGACAGGGACACAGTGACACTTCAGACCCGCTCACTGCCACTGGCATCACGATGACATGGAGCGTGATGTTTCGCGCTTATGGCAAGGCTCGCAGCGACTGCGGCCCGGCAGGATTCCACGGAGTTCTTGGCAACGGGATGGATTCGGGGGAGGGCTTGGCCGATGGATGTTTCGCGCACCGAGGGACTATCACTTGGCTACCGCCGCATGGCCGACCGCGGACATTCCCTTCGTTCTCGAAAGCAGGTTTCCTCTGCTGTTGCTTGGTTCTTGCACCCGGAGAACTCGGGCAGCCCTGATTAAGGCTAATGAGTGGGCAGCTGCGCAAAGACCAGCATGTTGGACTCACTTCCGTTTCTTGAGCTGCGCCGGTCCCGCAATGACCCTTTTGTGTTCTTCAGGTGCTCACAGGCCTGAAGGAGAGGGCGAAGGCCCTTGGCGACATGGGCGAAGCATCGGAGATCCGTTCCTGAAGGATTTCGCGCAGGGGGCCGGGCTGGGTATGGGCGGGTTATTCTGAATTTGCTTAGCGGGGCGTGCCATTCTGGATGTCCGCACCAGGATCCGGAGATGCCCCAGAATTCACGGCAGGCGCCGACCTGTTTGTGCACTCTGCGGCCTTGCTTTGTGGGTGTAGTGAGCTGGCTATGCCTCGCAGGAGGCTGCAGGTGCTGTTCCCATGGAGGCCGGGCTCAGACTTCATGCGGTGAGTGGGATGGCTGACCGATGCTGACCGCGCTCCGTCACGGCAGGTTTCGGAGCAGCGGCCAGCCGCTTCCCAGGCGCTTTGAAGCAAGTAATCAGAAGGCCCGCTATGTTCTGAAAGTGCAGCCGCTGTTTTCTTTGGGAGGTTCCGTCGACAGTGTCAGCGGATCCTGTTCCGATTCGGGCCAGTATTCTGAATTTGTTCAGTGGGGCGTGCCATTCCGGATGGATGCGGAGAGGCCGGAGGATTCACGGCAGGCGCCGACTTCGTGGTGCACTGTTCGGACGCGCCTTGCGGGGTTGGGTTTGTGGTGAGCTGGCGATGACTGAGGCTGCAGTTGCTGTTCCCATGGAGGCCCGGGCTCAGACTTTATGCGTTGAGCGGGAGGCCGCCTGACTGCGTTCCCACAGGTTTCGGAGCAGTCCGGGGCTGTTTTTGGAGCTTCCTCGCTAGCTGCTGCGACCTTAACTTGACCCGCTCTCCTCCGAAACCCTTGTTTTATTTGGGGAGGTTCCATCAACCTCGCCCGCGCAGCCCTTGCAGATTCCGGCCCGGTTCGTGTTCTCAATGTGTTTACTGGGGTGTGCCTTTCTGGATTCGTTGCTAGGATGTGGGCAGGCTGGCGGAGCAGGCACCGACTTGCCTTGAGCTGCCGGTGTCGTGAGCGATCAGCAGCAGCCAACCGAGATAAGTAGAATGTTGCATTCACAGCGGATCCAAAAGCTCTTCCTTCCTTGGTGTCCAGTGTCCGTGCAGCTCAAGCTCCATTTCGGTCAGCAGGCAAAGGGGGCCAAGCAAGAGCGGGGCGGCCTGGAGTGTTGCGGCCGGAAGAGGCTCGGGGCTGCGAGCATGGTGGGATGAAGTTGGCCAAACCCTTCGAGCTGAGCCCGGGCGAAGTGCCTGAGGAGGTGGAGGGATCGGACGGGGAGGACGATGAGTCGAGTGGGGCCCAGATTCCAGAAAAGTGTTGCAGCGACACTTTCACTGCCTTGTCTGCAGAAGCCCAGATGAAGGAAGCGTTGCCGTTATGCAGTCTGCGAGTGCTCCCACACAGTTGAGCCTCAGGCTGATGCTCGTGAGATCCTATCGGATGCGGAGACCCCGCCTGCCTGCGACGACACCGGCAAGCGAGCCAAAAAGGAGCCGGGCGCACTGGCTGGCGGAGATACTGTCTGCAGGGCTGAGGAGGACAATGCCAGGCAGGCGGTGCGGCGATTCCACACTTTTTCCTCCGATATCATTGCCTTCGTGGGCATGGTGCGCCACAAAGAGTGATTCCTCTCGCATGCGTAACTGCTTGGCCCCAAGAAGAAGAACCCTCGCAACCTGCTCCAGGCTTCTCTAGCGAAGGCCTTGCGGACTCACGGCTTGGTCGGCAACAGCTGCAGCAATCAGCCCGCCAGCTGCAGCAATCAGCCCGACAAATATGGAACTAAAGATGCGAAGTCCTCGACTTCATGGCTCCGATGATGGCGACGGAGGTTTCTGGAAAGGGGGCCGCCGATCCTCAAGCGCCCACGGCAATCATTGCCTTCCGTCCGTCCTTTCTGCAGAACGCCGAAGGATGCCGGCACTACCAGGTGATCGCGCTCCGGTTGCACGCGATGGCACACGGCCAGCTCGCCATCGTGGATCAGATATGGCGTGGGTCGGTTGGACGTGGCCAGCGCATTGGGACGCAGTCCTCCGCGAGCTGCCGGCCAAAAGCACCCGATGGATCCACCACATCTTGCCGGACAAAGTGGACAAGAACTGCTCCGAGGCAACCAGCCTTTACTTTCGTCCACAGTGATGCTGGATCCGCTGCACGAGGACGGACTCGTCCTCTGCGAGATTCCGGCTGTCATCAAGGAAAGCGGCTGCCGTGTGCTCGTGCTCGTGAACGCAAAGGCAGGGGCTGCTACACTGAAGCTCGTCCTCGCAGCGGATGCAGCGCAGCAAGCCGTTTGTGCGAGCATCATCCACAAGGTCTTCTACACGAGAGAGACCTTCATGCCCACGAAAGCTGGCAAGGAAGCCATGATCGCTTACATGGAGGAGATTCGCACCACGTATGAGAACATCGCCGAACGACCGCTTCTGAATGCTGAGGGGCAAGTCGAGGCGCTGAAGAAGGTTGGTGTGACAAAGCCGACACTTGGCTGCATGATGGCGCTTGTGTTTTGGGGATTAAGGACGTCTACTCTGCCAAGTAACAGTTTTGCGCCCCGGGCCCGAAGCTGCCCGAAACTGCCTCCTCGGCCTAGGCCTTCTTGAGCAGAGCTGAAAAGTCGCATTGGCGGCTTCTTTGAAGTCGTCCTCTGCGGCAAAGCTGCGGGACCTGCAAAGTTTCAGCAGCTGACTACGCGAGCTCCGTTTGGGCAAAGTTCTCTGGTGTGACGCCAGTGGCAAGTGACGGCCTGCAGACTTTTGTCAAGTTTCTGAAGGACGTCCACGAAGTGAGCTCGCCTGTGCTGCCTCCGGCTTAAGGCGGCTCCCGAGGGGCGCGGTCTGGGGGATGCCGACCGCAGACAAAAGGAGGACCAGCTTGTGCAAGTTTCGCCACGAAGAAATTTGCCCTCCAGAACAGCTTGCCGACTTTGCTCTAGTTTCTGCCAGACGAGCACGATGCAAGGCCTCCTGTTTTACCTGCTGCCTGAGGCGGCTTGCAACGGGGGCGCTGTCTCGGGGTAGCCGACCGCACAAAAAAAAGACACACCTGACTCAAGCTCGTGCGACTTTAGCGCCAAAAAAAAGCGTGACATTCGAGATGAGCCTTCACCACACCTGCACGGAACCTGTAAGCTGTTTCGAGATAGAAGGAGGGATATTTGGAAGGTTAGGGTTTTCGGGCTCAGGGCCACCAACAGCATCTTGCATGTGACCATGGGTAGCACCGTGATCCATCATGATCGTCATCACGGTCACGAAGACGGTTCAACCGTCGCCACCACCCTCCGCCACTTGTCCTCTGCAATGACACTATCATCCTCGTCCGCTGAACAGTTATCGGAGCTACCAGCATTACAGTCATCACCGCTTTCACGGCCATCACCAACCTTTTATCATTCTTCGACATTCATTATGTTCCTTTTCATTGTTCGAGTTTTTCGTACTGTTTTTTACTTCCCAAAACCGCAAAGCCTGAAACCGTCGCCGTATGATGCCGGAAATGCGAGGAGTGCCCGCATGCGGCATGCCCTACACGATCGTCTCGTTGAGAATGCACGTGGCACAGAGATTTTGCTCCCTGACGTGGAAAACGGGTTTAGGTTTGGGCTTTGGCTGATTGGAATCTTGGACTTGCGATTCGAGAAGACAGGGCTTGGGCTTGGGGTAGTGGCTTTAGGGCGTGGGTTTAGGCTTGAAGGATGCGTGTATGGCTATGGCATCATTAAAGCCTTCCTTCCTGCGAGGGGCTGGGTCGAGTATAAATACAACGCTGACTATTGAGCTCAAAAGAACTGACGCGTCTGGGCTGGCGCAGGTTCTCAGCTCTTTAGGGTACCCTAAACCAACTTCGATGCCCAAAATCTTGTGGATCACAGAAGCTCGTAGAAGAACCGAGGGTGTTTCAGAAGGCATTGTATAAGGTTGCATTCAGCTTCCTGGCTACCTCCCGACACCTAGAAGCCCTAGACACCCTAAGACCCTAACTGCTTTAGGGTTTAGGGTTTAGGGTCCCTGCTTGTTCGGAACCCTGGACCCTAAAACTCAAACCCCTCTACTCTGAGCTGCAAAACACCCGAGGCAGCTGCAGAACCTGACAGTGGAGTCGGCGAGCCTTAGAAGCGCTTGGTTCAGGGCTTAAAGGTTTAGGGTTTAGGGCTTAGGGTCGAGTGGGCTGGTTTCGGGGGTCAGGGTTTAGGACTCAGGGTCGGGGCTCGGTAGGGTTCAGGGCCATGTTTTTGGTTTGGAGGGTTCAGGGTTCGGGGTTCATGGTGTGGAATGTCGGGTTTCAGGGTTTTTTGACTTCCTTGCGTGCTCAATACACCAGATTGAAGCAATTCATGATGTTGAGTTCTGCTGTTGCGCAGATGAGCAAAACAAAAGGGTAGCTCTAGAAACCAAGTGATCTGTTTTGATTAACGACTGTCTGCAGTTAACGCTTGTTTTAAGCAAACCACGGTTTTATTTAAACAGACTCAGACCCGATCATCGAAAATGGAGCCCTACACCCTCAAGCAACCCTAGCCAAATCTACACCGTAAGGATCTTCGGGTTTCATTTTTTGGAGTTCCAGGGGTGTGAGCTATTTTTCCGCAGGACTCTGAGCAGCAAGGCTGCTGGATGGGAGTAATGAGAACTGTCGCCATGATACTTAGGGAATAGGGCCAAGTTTAGGGTCTAGGGTTTCGGGAGTAAGACAGCACCTATGTTCATTTGCAATGTGAGGTAGACTGTCTTCCACACCATCGTCTCCAGAATGCCTTCGAGTGAACCCAGTGTAGCGATCAGGATACCGTCCCTGGAGTTGGAGTCCTCCTGGTCCAGCCTGGCCATCATCCGGCAAAAGGCGGGACCCGATTTTTTGGGTAGAGACGCCTGAACAGTTAGGAGTACTATTCTTTAGGCTGGTTCATATAATTACAGCATCATGACCGGAGACCCTAGTCTGATTTTCATGCCTCTCGGTTGGGTGTCTTGGGGTTCAGGGTTTGGCAACTGGAATCAGGCGAAAGCAGGATGTCGTGCCGTGCTATCGGCCTGTACCTACACAGGATGCAGGGTTCGTGACAAGTAGATAGAATATGCTTCGATTCGAGCATTGCTATCAATTGCCCTGCCGCGGTTTGTCGGAAATTTTCACGGGTGTGATTCCTGTTTCGCTCCCTGCTGCTGTGACGTGTTGATCTCGGAACCACACTCTTTAGACAATGACTGCCGGGTCAGACAAGACAAAGTCTGTGGGCCAGTTTTGTAGGTCATGAGGTTGTCCCCCCAACCCTAAAACCCGAAAACCTGAACCCCTAAACCCTAAACCCATGCTCAGGGTAAGATCCTGTTTCTGACAACGGATGGGCAGCTGGTCCTGGAGAAGTCGTTGTTGCCAGGCCGCATATGAGGGCCGATTCAGAGCAGCGTGCCGAATAGCTTTGAACTTCTGTCGGTGTCAGCTCGACTGATGTCCTTCCTTCAAACGTCTACCACTTCTGGGGGTCGCTCCGAGTTCGAGGCTGTGCTTAGGCTTAGGTTCCATAAACTACGCGGGTAGTAGGTACCTTGAAGGGCACGCTACTCGAGAGCCCCCTTGCAGGGTTGCACATTCTTCGGGCCTGCCTCAGGAGCGAGGGTGTGTTTGAGGTCGGTGCTTTTCGTGGGCTTCTCTGGGTTCTGGCTAAGTTCAGAAACCATGTTATCTACTATAGCTCCCTATTTTAGATGGGCAACTTAGGTTGGTTTCCTTATCAAGAACCCACTTGACGTAAGTAAGATAGTCGAAGCCTGGCGGTTCCGATCCCGCCATGCACTGGCTCCAAACCTCTACGATTCGAGGCCTCCATTCTCAATCTTGATGACTAGGCCTAGGCTGTGCTTGTTCAATCCTTGTTTCCACTGTAGAGCTTGAGCCTACTGGTAGATATTTGTTTGGCAATCCTAAGCAGTTACGAGTTTGTCTGTCTGGTAGTTTGCAAAGTCTGCGAGCTTCTGCATATCTCATCGCTCTGTTCACGACTAGCGTTCCAACCAAAACCCAAAGCCCTCCTCTCACTGCCAAGCTCTCCGTGCAAAGGCCTCTCCATGCAAGTGCCAGCCTGCATCCACATCTTAAAGCCTAAGCCGAAAATCCTCAGCCCCAAACCCTTATCCCTAAACCTAAAACCCTAAACCCTAATCCCCAAACCCTAAACTCTAATCCCTAACCCCTAAACCCTAAACCCTAAAACCTAACATCCCTAAGCCCTATAAACCTTAACCTCTGAAAATCCTAAATCCGAGGTATCCATGGATTCCGGGACAGCGGACTTGGCGTCTCGGCCCCACACTTCCCCACAAGCGGCTCCTCGCAATCGCCGTGGTGGCGACCCGGACTGTTTAGGGTTTAGGGTTTAGGGTTTAGGGTTTAAGGTCCAAGGTAGGATTGCACTAAACCCTAAGCCCTAAGGGTTTAGGGTTTAGGTTTAGGGTTACCCAATCTCAAGTTGAGTGTCTTGGCGCGTAAGTCTGCCAGGGATGCATATTGCTGTGTTGGGAGGTGGAGAGGCGTAACAAAAACCAGCGGATCCTGGACTGCAAAGCACGTTACAAGGAGGATGATCGCGATGAACGGGCAGAAGTAGACCCCGAAGCCGGAAAGCTTGCCCATTCTGTGCAGGCAATACAGCCCGCAATATTCCTGGTACAAGTTTAAGTGTCTCACTCTGCGTAAAAGTTGGAACTATTGTCGTTTTTTAACCCTACACTCTTGACCGACGATGCGTGCATGTCCTTAGGCCTGACACTGATCTCAATCAACTAGTGTTTTTGGCACACCTTCTGAGCAGAGTAGAGGTTGATTGTTAGTGTCGGACGGCCTCCTGAGCACGGCAGTGGGCTCAGTCCCTATGCAAGCCTGCAGGCCGGAGCTTGCAGGCAGAACTTCACAAAGCCCTAAGACACATCGCCCGGGTAAAGCTTTGGGATGGGGCTTATCATGTTGAGGCTTTAGGTTTAGCATGTATCCTACGGTTCTGTGTCCTACAGGGCGACCACATGACCCGATCCCCAAACCCCTAAACCTTAAACCCTAAACCCTAAACCCTAAACCCTAAACCCTAAACCCTAAAGCAACAAGGAGGGGCGTCATGCTGGGATCTGCGGTCGCCGGCACTCCGGCTTCACGAACATGGGCTGGGCCGCGGCTCGGACATTCCGAATGATTTAATACAGAAGCCTAAGTAGTTGTAACATTTTTCCCAGGGTTCCTTGTGATAGATATAGATATACTAGAATATACCCCAAAACCCTCTTCCGATTATTAAGGCCGGATACTAGGGTCTACTACAGGCAGTAGACCGCCCAAAGCCATAAACCTAAAAGCCGTGAGCTCTAAATCCTGTAAATTGCACAACTTCTGGCTTCAGAGTCTCCCAAAACCCTAAGCCCTAAACCCTAAACCATAAACCTGAGCAGTTTGTCTTCCCAGGACACGGCAGGGACGTGGACCCAGTAGCTCTGGTGGTGTACCATACTATGCTAGCATTGCTACAATAATGCACCATAATAGTAGTATACTATCATGTACCACAATTTACTGTACGGTCCAGCCGTATTCCAGGTAAGCCCGATTACCTCCGAATTCGGCGCGCCTCACAAATGCAAACGAAATCCTGCAATTCATAGATGGTTGGTGCTTACGTCGGCTACTCTAGGTGAAGCCAAACCCGCAAGCCCCGAAGGTTAAGTTCAGCTTGAGAATTCCCGCTCACCCGCTCCGGAAGCTTGATTACTAATCATACCTCTTCCCCCCTGAATTTAGACCCAGAGTCCGCATCCCTGAACCCGAAAGCCTCGAACACTAAACATGTAGAAGCAGCAACATGTAGCAATGTAGTAATGTAGTACATGAGAACGAGGTTATCGCAGCCACCGACTCCGGACAGGTGGGTCGGGACTTAGTAAGTGAGGTTATAAGCACCTTAACTGGAGTTGTCAGTAGTTATAGCTGGAGTTCCGTTGTTTTTATAACTCCAGTTCCAAAGTCCCATGATCCTCCAACTGCTCAGCGCAGGGCTTCGGAGTTTCTGAAGGTATTCTTTTGGCACGGGAGGCATTGGGTTTAGTGTTTTGGGGGTTTAGAGTTGAGAAACATGGGAGTTGGAAAGGGTACAAGGTTTAGGGGTAGGGTGAAGGGTGTAGGGACGTTGATGGTTCAGGCTTCAGGCTTACGGCAAGTGTTTAGCAGTTTAGCATCGAGGGGTCAGGACCTGGTTTTTCAGCTTGGGTGCAGAAGACCACCTGTGATCGGAGCATCAGCGATTGCCAGACTTCGAGGTTTATTGGCCAAGGTTTCATGCGCTTCAAGGCGCCAAGGTAGCCTGTCCTAAACTCTAAACCCTAAACTGAAAAAGCTTTAAGCCCGATATCCTGGCTTCACAGACCTTGGCCCCTGCAAGGTGATCGTCTTGTGTCCGACCCAGCCGCCAGCAACAATCAGCAGATGTGTGTGTGTGTGTGTGTCGGGCGAGACAGTGTAAAACCGCAGTCATTAAGATGAATGCTGCCGAATCAGCTACCGCAAAGCTCCTGGATGTTCCAATCCCTGGGGTCTCAAGCTATGTTGGTGGCTGTCCCGCCTGGCCTTCCAGGTGTCGTCTGTATTCGGTAGCCTTCCTGCAAGCCTCCAGGACTTTTTCCCGCCACTGCCGAAAAGCAAGAAGCATCATCAGTCACGTTGATAGTAAGTTTCGGCAATGACAACTGAATTGCAATTGTCGCCCAGTAGCGTGGAAACAAAGGCAAGGTGAGCTGCATCCGGTCGAGATGCTCCTTTCCTTACGGAGACGCTCTGTTGCTGGCACTGTAGCCCCTTTGCGGCAAGATTCTTCTGTTTGAACGTGGGCTTTGGCATTTCTGCCCTAAACTCCAATAGTAAACCTACACCCCACACGCCCCAGTCACGAAACGCTAAACCATAAACCCTACATCAAGCCAGCCTTTTAAGTTGTATGAGCCCTACAAGCCCTATAAGCCCTATAAGCCGAGGTCGAAATTATTGACTCCTTCACCCCTTTATAGTAGCTTTATAGGAACCCGTATCGGAACCCTTATAGGAACCCATACAGAGCCCTTACAAGAACCCAGAACAAATTTCGAAACTCTACACCCCAACAGCCTCACTTAGAGGATCATGGTATAAGTAATAATACTTATGGATACCTTATGTATAGCCGTACTTACTAAGCCCATGATCCTCTAAACCAGCCCGAGGGATCCCATATAGAACCCATGAAGGCTTCAAGGAACCCTAGGCCCTAGTTGCTAAGTCCCGTGATCCTCGAAATCCTACAAGCCCAAAACCCTAAACCCTGAACCCTATACCCTGAACTGAACCCTCAACCCTGAACCCTGAGCCCTACACCCAAACCCCAAACCCCAAACCCCAAACCCCAAACCCCAAACGCCAAACCCTCAGTCGAGGTCGAGATCATTGACTCCCACACCGGCTCGAAGTCGCCACGCCGCCAGCGCATCATCGGCATCGTGGCGGACTGCCCGTCGTAGAGCCACGGTCTTGGGTTTAGGTTTTAGGGTTTAGGTTTTAGGGTTTAGGGTCTATGGGCTTTAGGGGTCAGAGTTGCTTTAAGAAAGAAGGCCTTACTTATGGGGTTCCACGGTTCTTAAACGGTTTGCTTTTTTCTAGGAGGGTTTCATAGGGTTCTACCGCGTTTGAAAATGTGGTTTATAGGGTCCTCGTAAGGTTTGATTGGTCCTTCACACAGAAATTATAGTTTTTGTAGGGTTTTATCATCTGGACCCTTCTAGCCTAAAGGCGTGTAATGATACTTTTTCTTTTATTACAGCTTCCCACGACCC